CGGTGTTGCGGCCGCACCTCGCTCAGCCAGTGAGCGGGAACCGGTCTGTATGTGGGATCCGAACCCTCGGCGGGAGCGCCGCCATGCTCCCAAGCGGCGCACTGTAGCAGTGCGCCACCGGGCCAGCCCTTCCATCATTCTTGGGTGCTGAGTTTATGTGACCCTCATATGGCATAGTATGTAGAAATTTTCTATGAAAAAAAGTACTGTTGAAGAGGAAAGGTCGCGTTGGCTATCTGGAGTTACCTGATTTTTGTATGGTGCTGAAAATTTTGTTGACAAAGAGATTGTATATAATGAACAAGTCCTACCATCAATATCCACTTGTTCACCAGTGAGATACTCCATCTTTCCCCCTAAATCCGTAAAAAATAAGTCAGGTTATTTGTTATAAAGTCCTGAAATAAAGACCATTATCTATTATTTCTATTGGATGATTAAGTCCTTTGGTTATAAAATTTTTTTTGAATGTAAGAGGCAAAAGTTCAGTTTATTATTTCTTTCAAGACTTTTTTTTTTAAAGGCAGTTTTAGGTTCACAGCAAAATTGAGAGGAAGGTACAGAGATATCCCTTATACCCCTGGCCCCTATACATGTGCATAGTGTCCCCCAGTATCAACATACCAAACCAGAGTGGTACATTTGTTACAACTGATGAAGTTGGACTGGCATGTCATTATCACCGAGAGTCCATAGTTTATGTTAGAGTTCAGTCTTGGTGGTATGCATTCTATGGATTTGGAAAGTTCAGTTATTTTAAGTTTTAAAATTCTAACCAAAGAGCTGGCCAGTTGGCTCAGTTGGTTAGAGTACGGTGTTGAAAAGGTCAAGGGTTTGGATCCCCGTACCAGCTAACCATGCACAAGCACACATACACACACACACAATCTAACTGATCGAGCTTTTGATCATGTATAATCACAGTGCAAATTATAAAATTTGAGGTTGGAAATCCCATGTTAAAGTTTCAAATATGTTTGTGCAAATTTACATGTACAGTAATTTTATGTACAGGAAAAGTATTTTACTTTTTCTGTTGATTTTTTTTTCTTTCTCAGTTAAATTTTAATTTGGGTAAAAAGTATATGCATTCATCAATATAAAGTGGATACAGTAATTTGTACATTTGTTCATTAGTTTCTAAAACTAATCACATTCTCTGGATAAGCTTTCACAAGTTTTTTCTCTTGTTATGTATGAAATAATCTGAATGAAATGTGTTAATACCACCTCTCTAAAGAAAAGTAATATGGTATGAAAAAGTCAGTGAGTCTCTTCCAACAGAATAATCCTTTTGTTACATACTTTATTAAGAAAAAAAGCTAAATTTTTAAATATTCTAGACAGAGTGGTCTCTCCCCTTCTCTTAAGTTGTATGGGAGAGCCAGTACTTGAGGAATTTTTTAGTTTTCCCTTTTTAAGATAGAAAAAGGTTTCTCTTCTATTTTAGTTTTTTTTTAATTGAAAATTTTAATTCATATAATGATAGTATAAATGTGCCATGGTAAAAATATTTACCACCCTTGTTTTTTTTTTTTTACTTAATGCATATCATGATTTGTGGCACAGGAAAGTGAAAAATGGAGAGGAGGAAGATTTCAGTGTTGTTTTGGTTTTAGTTTCAATCTTACTTCAATTAATATTTATTTAAAGGAGAATTCTAAAATACAGCAGAGCATGACGATATTCCTTATAGTAATATTCCAAAATACAGCATATAATGTAAGTGCATCATATATTGGGATAGCAGATAAATTGAATTACATCAATACCATCGACTATTAAGATACTATTAAAAAAAATTAAGGCTATGATATATGTGGGGAAATTTTTTATATAAATTCAAGTGAAAAAAATTATAAAGGATATGAATATTGGTTTGTCCTCAGCTAAATGCCAGTCATATCTCATTTAATCTTTGTTACTCTTACCAAAGATCATCAAAATATGAAGGTTTGTGCTATGACTACATCTGACCAATGAATCTATATGCACAAGTGCAAAGAACAATGATGTGATAGGATAAACTGCAGTTTATTTAAACTGGTGGAATCATGAGTGTATCATTTAGGGATTGAATTCAGCTGCTCATGAACAGAAAACCCATTTAGTGTGGCTTAACCAAACAGGAGTTTAATTTTTTTTCACATAAAAAGTCCTGAAGAAAGTGGCCTTAGGATGGTATGGTGTTATTCTCATCAGGGTCATAAGCATCTTCTTCCTTGCTGCTCGGCTGTCTGTAATGTATGGCTTTAGTCCTCATTGTTTCTTTATGGTTTGAAGATGGCTGCTTCACCACCAATGTCACCTCTGCATTCTAGGCAAGAAGGGGAAGGCATAGAGCAAAAGGCTCCTTCCAGCAGATTCTCCTTCCCTTTAAAGAGTTTTCTTGGAAATCTTTTCCAGGGACTTTTGCTTCTATATCACTGATCAGAACTATGGCATCCAGTTTCCATTAGCCAAAAGGAAGTCCAGAAAATGTATTTTTTTTCAAAGCTGGTCATAGTGCCACCTGGAGTAGAAGAGGGGCCGTGTTGGTAAGGAAAAAGGGGAGAAAAATGCATTAGATAAGTAACCAGCAAATGTCTGCCAAGTTTTTTTTTTACCTGAGTGCTATGATACTTTGAATCCTAAAAGTTAGACTGGCTAAGGTAAGAAAGACACATGGTGGTGAGGCGAGGTGTTAATGATCCCAATTTCTTAACAGATGTTTAGATTGTATGGATCTGTTCAGCTTTCTCCTTTTCACCATGGCCTTAGCACCATTATATCCTAGAAAGTCTGTAAGAGCAAGAAGGTAGAGTTTTGCTACTTTTTACAGGACTGATTTTAGAGTTCAGAGAAAAATGGAGCATTGAAACTTAGAACTGAAACAAAGATTTGCATACGTGTGGAGAGATTATGAGGTATGTAGTATGTCTGAGCCACTCTGACCCTTAGTTCCTCATGTGTAAAATATATGACCTGCTGTGCTTACTTCAGAGGTTTTTATGAAGATGAAATGGAAGAGGTAGTGTCTACATTTTTGTATAGAGCAATCAATACAATTTATAACAACAGACATATTTCACTTGATGGTCCAAAGTTCCACACCTGTTTCATGTTGCAGGTTAGACTCGAGCTTAGGACTCCTGATTCCTTTTCCAGATGATATATGGTAATGTCTATACTCTGTTAGATTGCATTACTCTTATAACTAATTACTCTGTAATTCAGCATTTTATGCAGTGCAGTTCAGCAGTTCCATACTAACATAACTTGACAGTTGAAAATATGGTAATGGTAGGTGGGAAGGAGTGAGGATCAACTTAGATATGAAAGTAAATCTCTCTGTACAGTGGAAAGTACTGTGTAACTTCACAAAATATTCATGGGATACAAAGGACAGGGGAAGTACTTAGAGTCAAAATGACTGAAAAATCTAGAAAGAGGTATCATATTTACTTGTTTGTGTCAATTTGTAATGTGCTAGTAGTCTCTTAGCTAGTCAATCAATACCAAGTTTTAAGGAATATATTTTATCATATTTTATATGTTGACCGAGAAACAAATGTGAAATCATACAAATCAAACACAGATTTTTAGAAAATAGCATCTAGAATGTCATCAGTAAAAATGTTTATAATAATTCTATGATTTTCTGGTACTGGGTAGGGATTTGTTGAGCTGAATGTTAATGCAGTATATTTTTGCTTTGCATATTTATTGTTGTAAATATTTTAAAAGCTTAAAAATTAAGAGCTATTTAACTACATATGCAATTTAACTACAATACTACATATGTATTTAACTACAATTATGCAACTTCAAAACTTTCCAAGCACCTTTCATAATAAGTGTGTCAAGTAAATCGTGTATATTTTTTCATTTCTCCCTCCTCAGTGAGTTACCTGAGAGAGAAGAAGGTGAAGGAGAAGAAACTCCAAACTTCAGCCATTGGGGTCCACCAAGAATGTAAGTGGATGACATTATTGGGTTTCTCAATAGGAGCACAGTCAATGCTTTTTTCTTTAACTTAGTAGAGGGTCATTCAGTCATACTCCAATGATGGAGAAATTGAAATAATTTCACATGAAAGCTAGCTTAAATTTTGCTTTCATTTTGTCCTATCTAAAGATTTTTAGCCAGACAAAAAGACTTTAAACAATATTATGAAATCTTTGATTTTCAGACAAAGCAATTTACAAATGTCCATCTATAATAGCAACCCATGGACTAAGTACAGTTTATCACTGCATCATTAAGCAAGTCAGGTAAATGTAGTAAAGCTGCTTTTTTTAAAAAAAACAACAATAGTTAAGGCTTCTATTATATATCATTTTATCTTTACCTTTCTCCCCTGATGGTGGGTCAAATTTTGTGCCTTGTTTCAGCTAACAGTGTGTCAAACCCGTCTTCCCTTGGATATGGTTATAGTTTTAAGTACGCACCAGGGCTACACTTTGAGATTATAACTCTTCCTTTAGCTGCTCTCTCTAGTCTTTGTGCATTAATTCCACCACCCCAATGCAACCTGTCCTTTTATTTGCAACTGAATTCTGAGTTTTGTCTTAACTCTTAGGAACTGTTTTCTGGGTTACATTTTTAATTGAGTTAATTATTGGCCGTGTCTCTGCAATTTAAGTAAAAACTATAATATTTTGAGGGGCAATTTTCATTCCATGCTTTTTTAAAAAAGATGATGTACAGATAGGAAGAAAGGAAAACCTTCTAGCCTTAGGAGCAGACAAATTCTGTTCTCTGATTAAAGAACCACAGAGTTAAATCTGCTAACTACAAAAAGTGGCTTGGACAACGAGCCTCTGAGTGGCAAATTGACTTTATTCTGAAAGTCTGTGCTTTTTGCCAAAATGATATATGTGTCTTTCTTGATCTTTCACCCATTTGTTATTTCTTCAGTCCATTTTTTGCTAATGTTATAGTTATAAATGAAATGGACTAGTCACAGAAAATAGATTGTGATAGAAGATGGGAACATTAAGGCTTAGCTAAATCTTCTCTGAATTTTAAGAGTTGTATTCATTGTTTTAGAAATCTATCTTTTCCAGAATTTAAACTTTCCCATGTCATGAATTATTGATAGCATTTTATAATTTTGGAGCTAGGTGTATAATTTATATAACGTTTGTAAAAATATATTTAGAAAATCTATTTTTATAAAATATGAGTCACAAGGATATGGTACAAATTGAATATTTACAGTGACAGTCCCAGAGATTGAATTAACTTGTTCATGAGTCAGTTTTTTGGTTTTTTTTTTGTAGTGTTGAGATTTTTAGAGAACCCAATGTTTCACTTGGTATCAGTATTGTTGGTGGACAGACTGTTATAAAACGCCTGAAGAATGGAGAAGAGCTTAAAGGTATATTTATCAAACAAGTTTTAGAAGACAGTCCAGCAGGAAAAACAAATGCACTTAAAACTGGAGATAAAATACTTGAGGTAAGTGATGTTAAAATACTGTTTTTGTTTGAAACATGGTGTAATACAGTAAAAGAATCATTTAGCCAGAACACCCTTCTTCATGTATTTGGGTGAGAGCATGTACAATTGGTGTACTCTATTTATTTGCCTTAGTTTATGTGCAATTTATGAATTTCTTAAGTGGGAGGAGGGGTTAGCAAATAAAATAATAAAACAAAAACCTCCACTGATTGAAAAAAACAATTTAATGAAGGGCTCTATATAAAATGGGGCAGATGGTGGGCATTACGCTTCTCCCACAGTCTTTAACAGGCTCTAAATTTTAATATCATGTGTCAGTGGGATATCTATGTTTGTCTAGAGAAAGGAATTGACCCTGGAAATTTCCAGGTTCCATTGGGGTAGGTGTGGATCCATGGTTCACATAGTTCACATGGCTTTGCAAGAGCTAAGTTTTAACAGCACATCAAAGTGCCAAGAATGCCTGAGGTCTGAATGTGATACATTTCTTTGCATTGGGTTTATTGGCTGACACCACTGTGGGTATCTCCAATTCCAGAATCTCCTTGTTTTTGATTCATGCTCTGTGGTGTTCATTAGCCATAGTATTCAGTGTGGACTCCGTCCTTTTCATTTTCTATTTGTTCTAGGACAAATTGTTAGAGACACCTTATTCTGTTTCCAAATAAAATGGAAATGAGAATTCAAAACCAATAGCATCACTGTAAAGATTAAATCAAAGAATTACATAAAACTGCCCTGTATATGCAAATTTTGGGTTATATTTGTGTTTATGAGATGTTTAAAAATTTTCAAACACATTGATAATATGGCAGTGAAGAAAATAGTGGCGGGGAATAGGCAAAAATCATAAAAAGTAATATGTAGAATGTTTGATTGTAATAAATAGCTGGGAAGAAAAATAAAACGGGAGGAGGATGAGGATTGCTGGGGTGGTGTGAAAGCATTAGGTACAATTTTAATAGCTTTGTTATGGAAGATGATATTGGGACAAATATAGAAAATGAGACAATGAGCCAGTTGGGTAGATGGAAGAAGAAGGCTCCAGGCAGAGAGAACTAAAATGTGAAAGCCCTTAGTAGGAGCTTGTCTGGATGTGTTCAAGGAGCAGCAAGAAGTCCAGCATTGCTAGGGTAGAGTGAACAAGAGAGAAGGGGGTAAGAGACAAGGTCTGAGGAGTAATGAAAGCCACATCATGTAGAGCTCAGCAGGCCTGGAAAGTCTTCTACTCTGAATGCAATGGAAATCTCTTAGAGAATTATGAGCACGTATACATTGTTTAAAAGGAATAGCCTGGCTTCTGGGGTAGGGGTGGGAATAGGGACTTTAGATGGAAGACTATTACAGAATTTAGGAGATAGAGAAGGGTGGCCTGGACCAGGAGGGGAACAGTGGAGATGGTGAGACGTGGTCAGATTAGGGACGTATTTTGAAGGTAGAACAATGGGATTTACTAACAGACTGGATGCAACGGAGAAGAGCCAGAGATAATCCATAAGCTTTTCAGTTTGAGAAACCAAAGACAGAATTTCCATTTACTGAGATGGGAAGACTGTTGGGAGGAGCAGATTTTGGTAGATGTATTTTGGACGTGTTAAGTTTGAGATGCCTATTTGACATCCAAGAGGATATAATAGGCAGTTAGATAAACAAATGAGGATTTCTATATCCTTACTAAATTTTTTTGCATGTTTTTCCTCAGTCTCAGTTAGAGATGTGTTTGTCTCCCACTGCGATTATGGATTTGTTCATTATTCCTCATAATTCTGCTGGGTTTTGCTGTTTATACTTAGTCTTTGTTGTTAGATGCATAGAACTTCATATCTTCTTGGTGATTTTTTTTTTTTAATGCTATGTAGCTTTCCTCTTTATCCCTATTACTTTTTACCTTAAATTCTATTTCATTACTATTGGTAACTGCTTTCTTTTGGTTTATTTTCAAGAGGACGTTGTTTTTTTCATTTTTTCTTTTCAACGATCTTTGCCATTTTTTTAATTGTATTTTTTGTAAGCAATATACAGCTGAATTCTGCTCTTTTTTAAAATCTATATTGATAATCTTCATCTAGTAAATAAGTGAAATTAATTCTTTTTTACTTTGATTATTGATCTATTTAAATTTAATTTTAAAACATTTATCTTGTATTTTATCTTTTTCCCCCCCTAACTTTCTCTTTTGAAATAATTATAGGTTCATAGGAAGTTACAAAGAAATGTACAGGGAAGTACCATGTACCCTTCTCTAAGCCTTCCCCAGTGTTAGTATCTCACACAACTACAGTACAATAGCAGCACCAAGAGATTGACGTTGGCACAACCCATAGACTTTGTTCAGATTTCACCAGTTTTCCATGCACTCGTGTATGTGTGGTGTGTATGTAGCTCAACACAGTTTTATCACATGAGTAGCCATTCGTAAGCACCATCACAATCAAGAAACTCAACTGTGTCATCACAAGACTCACTTGTGTTGTCCCTCTACTATCTCTCCCCTCTTCTCTCCCCAATCCTTAACCTCTCTGTATTAGTCAGTTTCTGTTGCTTATAACAGAAATACCTGAAATTGGTAAAAGAAACAATATTTATTGCATACTGTTTTGGAGAGCGGGAAGTCAAAAGCCGAGGAAACACATCTGGTGAGGCCTTCTTTGGTGAGTGGTGACAGCAACATAAAGTGTCACATGGAAACAATATTTATTGCATACTGTTTTGGAGAGCGGGAAGTCAAAAGCCCAGGAAACACATCTGGTGAGGCCTTCTTTGGTGAGTGGTGACAGCAACATAAAGTGTCACATGGTGGATGGCTGAGCAGAGAGAGCTAACCTCCCAGTGGCTCTCATTTTAAAGCCCTCAGAATGTTCCTCATAATCTAATCACCTCTTCAAGGCCCCACCTTTCAATCACCATAATAGGATTTCCAACCCTCCTCTTAACACTGTCACAGTGGAGGTTGTTTCTATTACAAGGACTTTGGGGGACACAATTCAATTCACAGCATTTTCACAGCCAGTAATCTGTTTTTTCATGTCTATAATTATGTTATTTCACGGTTGTCACATAAATGGAATTATACAATGTTTATCTTTTCGAGATTGGCTTTTTTTACTCAGCATAATTTTCTTGAGGTTTATTCAATTTGCAGTGTGTATCAATGGTTCATTGCTTTTTATTGCTGACTAGTTGTTTTAGTAATTGTTTTAAAACAACTTAGTTGCTATAAGCCCAACTTAGTCCATGCTTCATCAGGCTGCTATAACAAAATACTGTGAACAACAGAAGTTTACTTCTCACAGTCTTGGAGGCTGGGAAGTCCAAGATTAAGGCACTGGCAGATTTGGTGTCTGGTGATGACCTGCTTTCTGGTTCATGGAGGGTGCCTTCTCCATGTATCCCTACATGGTGGAAGGGACAACCTCGCTCTCTTGGTCCTCTTTTATAAGGCCACTAATCCCATTCTTGAAGGCAGAGTCCCTATGATCTCATCACTTTGCAAAGGTCCTACTTCCTAATAACTTCACCTTGGGGGTTAGGATTTTAACAGATGAATTTGGGGAGAACACGAACATTCCAGCCATAGCAGTAGCATTTGTATACAAATTCCTGAGTGGAAATATGTCTTCCTGAGTGGAAATATGTTGGGATTAAATACTGAAGAGTGAAATTGCTGGGTTTTATGGTAAGTTCATTTTTGCTTTTGAAGCCAGCTGTCATACTGTTCTCCAGAGTGTTGTACCATTTTACATTCCCACCAGCAATGTATGATTGATCCAGTTTTTCCACATCCTCACCAACATTTGGTGTTGTCACTGTTTTTCATTTTAGTCAATTTGATAGGTATATAGTGATATCTCATTGTGGCTTTAATTTGCATTTCTCTAATGACTAAGATTGAACATCTTTTCATGTGATTATTTGCCGTCTGTATATCCTCTTCAATGAAATGTTTATGCATGTCCCTTGCCTGTTTTCTAATTGAATTGTTTTTTGTTTTATCTTTTTAAATTTTGGTTTTGTCCCCCTCATCTGTGTCTGTTGTCAGTTGGATATAAAGTATTCTCTCACTTACCTGTTATCACTTTTATACATACTAATAAGACCCAAGGTTTTGTTTCAGATTTAATCATTTATACATATTGTACTTTGTCAAACTCACAGCAGACTTGACATGCTACATTTTAGTGTATACTGCGTCTAATATAACAAATTATTTACTTTTTTGTGCAAAAAGTGTTATAAAGATTTTTTGTTTTTAAGTAAAGCCTAGTAATCAGTTCTTTTTGTCTATAGGTTATAAAACGAATGTCCTGAAACAATAACATGAAAAATTTAGGTCCAAATACAGAAAAATTTTTTAAACTCGAGAGGTGGAATTTAATTTATTTTGGGGGAATGGATCTTCATTTGTGAAGTTCTTGGGTATAATTCTAAAGCTGAGACAAACTAAGATTATTTTTCTGTTATAATATGGCAAAACTCCATTTTTCCCTAACTTCAGAGTGTCAGTGATTCCCATTTAACTCTGGAAATCTGTTAGGAAAACAATTGATCATTAGTAGATGATAAAGTAGTTCTCATATAGCCTTTACCCTTGTTGAAAATTTTTAGGAGTAGGTTATTCATATTTCATCAGACTGTTGTGACAGATTTTAAACTTTAATTATATTTATATTTTATTTGCTTACTATTATCCATATCCTTCCCCAACGCAAGTTAGAAAAGAGCTTTTACAGAACGTTAAATCTTCCAGTGGTTGCCAAGTGGAATAATATGCCAATGTTCTTACCAAGTCCTTTTGGACCTTGCATGATGTGGCTCTAGCTGTCTCCCAACCATACCTCTTTTCTCTCTCTCCTCTTTCATTGTACTTTAGACTCACCTGCCTTTATTTTGTTTTGTTTTATTTTCACAGCTGGCCATGTGGGGATCCATACCCTTGACTTTGGTGTTGTAACACTGAGCTCTAACCAACTGGACTAACCAGCCAGCCCTCGCCTACCTTTGAACCCCACTCACACACTAGGCTCCTGTCGCCAACCTACTTTAGGACCCTATAAAGGAATAAACAAACTTTCTTCCCATTACTCTCACACTCAACATAGAACACTTCCGTGACCAGGTGTGTGGGGGTTTTTCCTCACACACCAACCAATTTCCAGCAGACATCAACTAGACGTCTTAAATTTTAATTCAGTTCTGACACTGTCTACCTGAAGATAGCATCAGATCCCACAGGTTGAGGGCTCAGTCCCACAAGACTGCCCCTACTTCAGATGCCAACCACAAGTAGTAGGTTGTCACCTATACTTCTGACTGACAGACTACAAACCGGGGTTTCCTCAACCCTCTCCTTGCATTGGATTAGTTTACTAGGACAGCTCACAGAACTCAGGGAAACAGATGAACAGCCAGATTAAGAGATGGGTAGGGCAAGATGTGGGGGTTGCGGAGCTTCTGTGCCTTCTCTGGGTGTGCCACCCTCCCAGCACCCCCACATGTTTAACAGCCCAGAAGCTCATCAAATTTTTTTGTTCAAGAAATTATGTACAGTGTGATCTTCAACCCCCATCCCCAC